AAAAAAAGATTTTAAAGTTGCATAAAAAAATTTAATAGGGCAATTAGATGATTTACAAAAAAATTGTTCAAAGGTTCTATCTTTCATAAAAAAACTAAAATATATTAGTGTAAATATTGCATCTTTTCATTATAAATAAAATTGTGTTTTTTCATAAAAAATATCTATTATTTGAAAAGTTATATCTTTTCATTATAAAAAAAATTGTGTTTCAGAAAAAATAGTTTAAAACTTTAAAAATAGGTTGTAAGAGTTGTGTCTTCTCATAATAAAAATATCTATTAATTAAAAATCTCCAATTAATATTTAAACTTGTGTCTTTTCATAAAAAAAAACTGAATAATATTTGTATTAAAGTTATTCTTTAAAACTATTAAATAAATAAAATCTCTATTTGTCTCAAGAATTAATAAATATATTAATAATATAAAAACCCAAATTAATATTTAAACTTTTCAAAAAGGTATGACAAATATGATTGTGGTTTTTAAAATGAAATATATGTCTCTTGAAAGAAGAGTTGCCAAGTATTTGATGACATCAACAATCCTTTCAAAGGATATTTTTGGTCCGTTAGATCTTAAAATCAAGTAATTTCTGAGGATTATATTTTTTTCCTATAAAAAATGTTGATGTCAGAAGTGGTTTATTATATAGATTTAAATAATTAAGTTTATGTAAATAATATAACAATAAGTTTTTGTTATTGTATTTACTCTTTTTACAAGATTTTTATTTTAATTTAGACCCCTTCATCAAAGCTGCAAGAAAGTTCAATTGTTTAATGTTTCAAATATTTGACCAAAAATGAATATTTTGAGAAGTGTTTATATCATAATCAGATCTAGAATATTTATTTATACACTAGTTACATTTAATTTTCCTAGATATATTACTATGTTAATGACATTTGTTATTATTATTTCATCTGCAAAGCAATTTTATGTGCTTGTATAATGTTGATACTTATCATTTGAGTATATCTTTCTTTTAGTTTTCTTAAGATATTTAATATTTTTTTCTTAAATTGGCATATGTAGGCAGCTAAATTATAATGTAGTAATATTTGTCACATTGGTGTATGACTACATAAACATATCAAAATAATGTTTTTAATAATTATATATAAATAGATGTTATACGTAAGCCACTAACTAGTTGCAATCATATTGTTTTATCATTTCAAACTTTCAAAGCTTTAAAAATGGTCAGTTAATTTGTCAAGAAGCCCGGATAAAAGCATACACATATAGTTTTATGCATTCAGAAACATATCGTCTATATAATGAATTCTTCAAAAAAATCTAATTGGTTTACTTTTTTTTTTCTGTAGGAAGAAGAATGTTGTTTCGTGTTTAATGATGATGATGATATAGGCAAGAGGAAAGCTCTAGCTTATATCAATGGTTGTAAAGGTACATTATTACAATCTAATGGTTATGTTTGAGCCAAAATCTTCAACCAATGTATCCTAATGAATTTTTCATTTTGATAGGAGTTAAATCCGTAACAAGAGGAGACAAAGTCGTTATCGTGAAAGGAGTAGGACTAAATCAGCGTAAAATGGAGAAGAAGTTGGATAAGATTTTTTCACCAAAATGGGGATGTCTATGGTGTTTTTGTTCCAATCGATGATGTGGTGTTTATTTATATTTTCATGTTCTATAAAAGTGTCTGGATTTTTGCTTAACTATTGATTAATTCTGACCTATATTAATCTACTCATATAATGTTTATTTGTTGTTTGTATATTAATCTATTTATATAATTTTAGATAAAAAAAATCAAAAAAAAAAAATCAAAGAGACCTAAGAGATGGAGAAATCTACCAGTAGAGAGTCTCATCCTCTAGGCTTTTACAATATGATCCAAACAAAACTCAAAAAAGAACATGCAAAACATCTACTATTACAATAAACGTTGTTGTCTTCCTTCTTAGTCACAAGATACAGATCAATGATAAAACAAACTACCACCACTTCTGGTAATACATTCACAGTCAAAATTGGTGAACTGGACAGTTGTCTACACTTTAGTAAGATTAATTCAACAGCCCATTGTAAGCTCACATGCTCTTGAACTCCTGGTTGCAATCTCCACTTCCTCAAACATCTGATGTCTGCGCACCAAGCTGACTGCAACAGGAGGATAAATAGTTGCAGTCACTAACCGCTTCGCATTGTTCAAAATATAAACAGCCACTTCTTTCTCAACTTTTGTTCCTTCATAGTCTCTCCACTCAAAAGTCCTGAGATGTAACAACAAACACTCAGGAACACGCCTCGGCTGGATCCAACGAACCTTACGGTACTTAAGTATCCCATGGTCCTGCAATCAAAATACATTTCACTATTAAACCAAACATGATTGATTGAGAAAATTTGGGTTTAGAGAGGAGAAGAACGTACCAGGACAAGCTTGAGAGCTTGTAGTTTAGGAGAATGTTGGAGCAAACTCACAAGCATATCCGTCCAGCTATCATCACATGAACATAGCTCCAAACGTACAAGCTGAAACAAAACTGTACCACGAGGATACCGAGCCTGTATACAATGATAATAAGCACATGATTTAAACAGTTTCAAAACTAGTTAAATGATATAAAAAGCTTACCTCATCAGCTAAGCATACACAAAGACGCCTAACAAAGGTAAAAGACTCCAGAGCATTGGCATGGTAAGNCACATGAACATAGCTCCAAACGTACAAGCTGAAACAAAACTGTACCACGAGGATACCGAGCCTGTATACAATGATAATAAGCACATGATTTAAACAGTTTCAAAACTAGTTAAATGATATAAAAAGCTTACCTCATCAGCTAAGCATACACAAAGACGCCTAACAAAGGTAAAAGACTCCAGAGCATTGGCATGGTAAGACATAGATTGAAGATTTGCCACGACAAGTTTGCGGAAACTACCAAGCAGCTCAAGTTCACCAAAGTAATCCACAATGTTCAACTTCTTCAAAGACTTGGAGGAATGTATCACAAACAAATGGTCATCATGTGGTGTCTCTGGGACAGTGTTAACAGATAAACTCTGTAGGGAAGGCAAGTCAACAATGAAAGCCACCACATTGTCTTCAGGACAAGTCTCCACAACTAAATCTTCGAGGACAGGACAATTCGATATAACTCTGGAGAAAGATTCATCATCAGAGTAAATGACAGAGAGAAGTCTTAACTTCACGAGGGATGGGAAGGTAAAGTGTGAAGGAACATCCAAGAGAATCACTCTATTGAGTTCTAAAGACTCGAGTGTTACACATCTAAAAAACCTACTCGGCAACAAAACAAGACAGTGATCGTAATAAAAACATATTTTAATGTCACGCACGAAGCGATCTACAGCGATTCTAACCCATAAACCAATCTCGGAAGGGCTACATTCTGAGGTACTGTTGAGATGAAAGCTTTCTAGAACTGATGCTTTGTGTAATAGCAAAGTTCCAGACACAAACTGTGACAGAGATCTTGTGTTGTGATTCTCGTTAGCCTCTTCATCTTCATCACTGTCCTGATCCTCTTCTGAGAAATCATCGAAGTTAAGTCTTGGCACCTCCTCTGAGAAATCACCAAAAAGAAGTCTTGGCACTAGTGTCCAGAGAGACAGCCATCGTTTAGACAAAATGCTTGTAGAGACAGCATCTTTGGTCGGGACGAAGGAGAGAATCTTGATGAGTAAATCATCTGGCAACTGACTTAACTTATCCATAAGAGCTCTTGAAGCAATAGAAGACCAAAGTGATATCTACAGAATCAAGCCGAGAGATACCTTAACAACTTCGAAGAAGCCATATTCAATCGTTCTTTCAGAAGAAAACCTAAATCCTAAATTGATTTTGCTAAGGGAAATTTTCACCAATAACCATTAAAGAAACTATAATTAGGAAAATAGCCCAGAACAAAGTAGTGAGTAGAACAAGTTAGGGACAGGCTGGAAAAAAACGAACCCAACCGAGTCAAACAGAACTAACCGAACCAAACTAAATTAAACCGAACTGAGAAATCAATGTTTTTGTTATTAATTAAAATTAAACGTATTAGCCATATATAATATATTAAAATCTTAATACTAAAGTTACTATCAACTTTATCAACGATGTTGAATTTTCTTAATTTTCTATTTAGTTTAGATAATTTTGATTTGATTGTGTTCTTATTATTTTGTTGTGATTTTAAAAGATTTTTGTTTCAGTTCTATATTAGATTTAGTTTACATAGTTTATTTGATCATAGTCACCAATAAAATGATTTCATAACCGTACCTTTATGTTTTAAAACATGATTTCTCTTAGAAAAACTAAACTAAGGGAATTCGATTAAATCAAACCAAAACACCACCAAACCGAATACAAACCAAATCGAATATGAATTGAATCGAAACCGATCCAAACTAAATATGGTTTATTTTGGTTAGACAAATTTTCAGACCGAATTAACCATACCGAACCGAATCCAAACCGATAAAATAACCGAAATGCCCACTCCTAAATTAACATGTTATATATTATCAAGTAGTTGGACAAAAATATCCATAACTCTTAAATTTGGTGGACAAATTAATTCTCCAAAACTCATCTCTCTCTCTCTCTCTCTCTCTCTCTCTCTCTCTCTCTCTCTCTCTCTCTCTCTCATTTATACTTTTTTTACTTGTTACTAAAAATTTCATCTCATGTGTATTATTTTTCCTTTAATCCTTCTAATACAATTTTATAAATAAAAAATTCTATTCAAAAATATATTCATTTTTCTACATATGCTATAACTTGTTTTCTAAAAACAGATATATATTTCTCAAAAATATGAACATGAATTGAAATTTTTTTCTAAGAAATCTGTGTGAAAATATTTTTACAATAACTTAATGTATTTTAAGTTATCATTTCCAAAATGAAAAAAATAAATTATATCCTATCTTCTCTATTTTATAGTTATAATCATCATGTTAAAAGGCAATTATTATATTGAACTAATATGATAAAATTATATTAAATTGATAAATTGATAAATTTTATTTTCAGAAATATAAACTATTTATTTTAAAAATATGATAAATCATATATTTAAATGTTTATATAACTATTTATACAATATTTTTATAATTTACATGTTATATTAATCAATTATTTAAGACCGTATGTATTTTTCATTTCTTATTATACTTATTTTATTGTATTTAGAGTTAGTTATTAAGCAAATTATTATATTCATGAGAAAATATATTTGAAAATTATTTTCTATCTCTTTAATTTATGGTAAATTCTGACTCGTCCCAAAGCTGGATTTTTTTTACCAATATTTTATGCTTATTTACTTTAGATAATATATTATGTATATACAAAAGTATAAGATATGTTATTTTTTAGACATGTATTATCTAGTTTGCTAATTTTATGTTGTTCTGTAAGATATAGTTTTGCTAAAAATATATACCACTAGTGTTTTAAAACAAATATTTATGTATATAAAAGTGAAAACAAACATCCGTGGAGTTACGCGGATCAAAATCTACTTAAATTAAGATATTTAAAACATGAATCTATATCAATTGGTCAAATTATGGAAACCCAAAAATCAATACAATTAAAACAGAAGCATTTTTTATCTACTTGCAAGTAATTTATGTATAATCATTACATTAATTTAATTTTAGGTTATATTACGTACAATAAACTTAGTTATTATTAAATAAACACATAATATTAGTATATTATTTAATATATTTAAAATAAGATATCAAAAACATATTCTTAACTACTTTTTAGATTACATTTTAACAATATATTTAATATATTTTATTTTAAAAATAAATATTTATTATTTTAATAATAAAAAGTTTAAATAATATTAAATTTAATTACACATGAATATTAACTCATTTTGATTTATAGAATAAGAAATAATCTTCTATAATATTTATATACAATATTTCATATTTGTAATTAAAAATTACACTAAATAATAACTATAAAATAACTTAATCTATTTTTATAAATTATAAACTAAAGGAATTACATTTACAGAAGAACATATATTTATATAGTTTACAACGTACTTCAACTTATTAAAATAAAATACTAACATAAGATATTTAAACTAAGAAACAATTTTATATTTTAATATACATATCTAAATTAAAAAAATTAGGATATAATGTAATATAAATTACAATACTAAATTTAGTTGACATTAATATTATTTCATTATATGGTATATGGAACAATACATAATATGTTTACAATTATAGTTTCTTGCAGATTATTTCATAAAAATGTAAATAATAAAAAATATATTCATAATTTCATATTATACGTTTAAATTTTTTAAATATAATTAAAGTTAATATGAGCCGGTTTCTATAAATATTATCTTATTTTCATAAAAAAAAATTTATACAAATTTTACTTTAGTTAATATACTTTTTAAACAAAAATTTCTTTATAAAAGTACATATATATATATATATATATATATATCTTCTTATTTACAAGGTAGAGTATCCTATAGATTTAGCTTTTTGTAAAGTCAGAACGTCATTAATATGATATTAGCAGTTTTAGCCACAAAAAAATACATATATATAATTTATATTTTGGGTAGATAAAATTTTGAATATAAATTTATAAACCATCTAAATTAGGTTTTAAGTTGAACTTGAGCAATCAAGTATTCTTTAGAATACGGGTTGGGTAATTTAAATTTTGATTCTAATTTATATCACATCCTTGATCTCATTGTGATAAATTTGTAAATATGGATTGAGGTTTAGATATAGCACATTGGTTTTGGTTCTAATTTGTATCATATCCTAAAACCATAAAGTTTTCATATCTTGTTAAAATGCAGTTTATACTGGTTTGGTCCGGATATATCCAAAAGTTTAATCCAAACTTTTAAAGCAAATCATAAGAAATAAATAGATATTTTTATAGAAGTATATATTTAAGGTACTTTTTTAAATTTAAATATTAATTTTTAGATATCATTCAAAAATAATTATAGATTCAAATTATATTATATTTATGTTTGTGATTAATTTGAACATTCAGATCCATTTTTCAAATATGTACATGTTTTCGGCCGGTTATTGGTTAGGATTGGCTAATAACACTTCGGTTTTGATATGTTATATACCACTACCACCCTACAAGATCTCTTATGGCATCTTTTTACATTTAAGATCGGGTATGGATAGGGTTTTTGTAGTTTGGGTTCGGCATGGACTTTGTGTTATGAATTTTATGTTCAAACATATTTTAAATAAAGAGAAAAGACTATTTTATAATGTTTTCACTGAAAATTTATTCTGCGCTTTCAAACCGCGGGTCAAAATCTAGTCTTCTCTATTAAAAGAGAATTACAATTTTATCTACTGAACAAAAGTCATTTTGGACCATTTCATTAATTATTTAATATGACATATTTGGTAATTAATAACAATATTAATAATATAGAAATTTAAACATAAAAAATCTGTTGGGAATAACTCTAACAATATCTTACTAAAAAGTTTAAATATTTTTATAAAATTAATTACTATTCAGTTTCTTGATTAAATATTATTATAAATTAATGTTAATTAAAAATACAATTATATGCTATATGTTCCACAATTTATAATTATAATCTATATCATTTTAATTTAGAAATGCAATATGAAATAAATGTAATAAAATTATATTAAATTAGTAAAGTAACCTATTTTATTTTTATAAATTGTTTTCATTTAAATAAACATCACTCACTTTTAAAATGGGTTAATTTTTAAATCATATAACATTTTTATAAAAAAAATAATTTTTAACATATATTTTTCTAACTTAAAACCATATATTATCAAAAATAATTATATAAGTCTTCCAAAATTATTATGATAAATTTCATTTTTTTCAAAAGATAAAATAATAGGTCGTAAAGTATAATTTTTGAAAAGCAACATGAAAAAGCAATCTATTTTAAAAAATTGAAAATTATAATATTTTAAAATCTTAAATTCATTAAAAATAATACTAACTTAATACTGTAACGTAAAACATCATATATCGATAAAAATACTTAAATAATATTATAGATGTTGCTATGTATAAAATTTATTAAAATATTAAGGCTAAACTACTTAAACAGAATAATGTATTGGCTTATAAAATCATTCAATATACTAAAATGATAGATGCTAAAGTTTATTTTTAAATAAAATATCAATACATAAATTATTCTAAACTATATCATTTATGTAGTATAACTAAATAAATTTCAAACATTGTATGCAAACTATCGAAATAAAAACGAACATATTTTATACGTGATTCTCTATTTGATTATTTTAAATTATGAACCTATTGTACTGAACTCAAAAATATATTAGTATGTAGTAATAGTTGATAACAAAGTTAATGCATACAAAATTTTATTATTTATTAATTAGATCATACAATGTGAGCACTAAAATGTAAATCATATATCTAAAATGTTTAGCTATACATTTATAAAATGAAAAATATACCCGTCAAACTCTAGTTAGATAATTAAATGGACAGGCCGAATCTATACATTCCTGTCACACACTGACACACATGATGCAATATTTTTATGTTTTGGACGTCAATGTGCCAAAATCACTGCTTATATATCTATATCCAAAGCTACCTTATAACAATATTTATTGGTATTATTCCTGGATCCAAAAACCGGTTAACATGTCTACTTTTTTTTTCTATCACAAAATTACATTTCGTCGAATATTAATCATAAGAGCATAACTAGTTAGCAATCAAATAAAATAAAATAAAAAATAGTGCTATCTCTTAACATTAATTAGCACTAATAGCACCGCCAATGGGCATAACATTTATGGGAAATGCATATAGAGGAAGGAGTGAGCTGGCTGAGGATAAGGGCTAACACTATTTGTTTCTTTCAATCCTTATCTTCTTCTTCTCCTTTCCGATAATAACAAAGATTTGATTTGCTATGTTAGCAAAAAGGTTTGATTTGTTATTGTTCTTTGTATTCTTTCCTTATGTAAAACAAACAAATAAAGCACACATACGGAAACAGAAACTCAAATATAAAGATCCCACACTATCTTCTATGAGAAAATATTGATTGTGATGGACAAGTTTGGTTGGTCCTTGTCGTCTTCTTCTTCTCCCGTCAGCAAGAACAGTGACGATGAAGGCGGAGAAAATAAAGCTGAATCTCCTTACAAGGGTCCTCTTGATATGATGGAATCTCTCGAAGAAGTTTTACCCATCAGGTTTTATTTTTCATTTTACTAAATATTTTGTCTGAATATTGAAATGTTTGGTTTCTCTTTACTAAATATTTTGTCTGATTCTTGTTGTGAAATCTCTCTGACGTGTTGAATACAACAAAACAGGAGAGGGATATCCAAGTTCTACAACGGGAAGTCAAAGTCTTTCATGAACTTAAACGAGGCTGAATCCTTGTCGATGAAAGATTTAGGGAGGCCAGATAACCTTTACAGTCGTCGCCGGAGAAATCTTCTCAGTCACCGGCTTTGTTGTCGCGGTGGAATCTCGAAGAAACCCCTCAAGGCCAACTTCACGGTGGTCTCATCCTGTGGCGATGATTCGTCTTCAGCCTCTCATTTAAAACATCAGCATTGACTGACCACTGATAGAGTTTCTTGCGGATTTTTTTTTTTTTTTTTTTTTTTTGGAGAGTTCAAATTTTAAAATAAAAACGGCTGGATTAATAAGAAGATGACTCACCCTCCATTTTAATTCTAAAAACCCAATGCCTATGGGTACTGCCTGAACTGCCCTTATTATACTTTTCCTAATCAACGTAATAAAAAAGTTGAAACTGTCTTTCATAAATCCGTGTGCTCGCCGCATCCTGAGCTCAAAATAAAAAAAGAAAAACAAAAAACAAAAAGAAAAGAGAAAAAAAGAAAATCCGTGTGCTTAACGGTTTCGATTTTCTACAAGGCATGCCAGACAGTCTACGTACTACTACTGTTTTGTATGAAAAGATTATTTTATTAATATTTGTGTTTAAAGTTTAGTGATTATTGTTTGGTGACATTATTTAAGTATTAACAAATTGTTAGATTTGGATGATGAGAGTTAATTAAGAAATACGGTAGACAAGATGAAACGGGTGTTGCAATATCATGAAAGTATATATATATATATATATATATATATGAGAAAATCCTACCATACACGTAGGAAGTATCACACAACACTTCAAACTTCACCTTATTTTCTTCTTACATAACACTTGCACAGCAAATACATCTCCAAGATGATCTTAAAATCATGAAGCCCTGGTTTGAGTTTCAGCTTCAAACTCTCTCATAAACTTGACAACTCTATCAATCTCCGGTACCACATTCTTCACCGTGTCATCAGACAAGAACTCATTGGCCCATTTACATAAAGAAGGAGTTTTTGATTTGTCTAAAATATTTTCTCCTTTAAGGTTCTCTCTAGCTTTTACGATAACCAAGAAGCTTCCGAGGCAGATGTCCATAAAACCGATCACTTCACCGCCAAAAAAGCGTTTCCCTTTGCTTATAGAAATAAACGCATCCTCGAGTAGCAACAGCCCTTCTCCCACTTCCTCCATGCCTTTCGCTTTGGCGTTTTCTGATTTGGTGATCGTAGTTGCAATCAAAGTTGGAAACCACTGCTTTTTAAAACAGTTTAGAGAAAATATATTTAGCTCATGTTTCATAGAAGTTAGTACGAGTTGAATAATAATCATTGGATAATCAAGCTTATTGAATCTTTAAATTAAAATATTAGTACGAGTTGGAATATGTTTGAGTTGAAAAGAGTATTATTATTTTATTTTATTTTATTTTATTTCCAAAGAATGTTTTAGAAATATACATATACTAATTAGAAGAGCATTGTTAAATATACTAATTAGAAGGGTTAGCCAAAAAGAAAAGTAGTCAAACACACGTACTTAGACAATAGACTAGAATATCATGTAATTTACTTGGTACGTTTTAGCCCAAATCACCTAACTAATAGCACAAACCTTTGTGATCAGCGAAGGTGTAACGAGAGAGTGAATAAATTGTTAAATATACGAACCTTGTCATCAACGAAGGCAGACCAGAAGCGAGCGATGGCACGATCATGAGGATAGAATGGTAAAATGGATGGTCGAGATGAATTCCACGTCTCGTCGATGTATTCAACGATATTGAGAGACTCGACAACCGCTCTATTATTGTGAATGAGAACCGGAACTTTCTTGTGAACCGGGTTTGATTTGAGAAGAAGCTCACTCTTGGAACCGAACAGATCTTCCTCAAAGTAATCGTAATCGATGGATTTGAGACGAAGAGCGATCTTTGCTCTTGCCACGACCGGACTGTACCATGTTCCCAAAAGTTTCACTTCCTCTCTCTCTCCCATTTTTTTTTCTTTCTTAAATTATTTTTTATTCGGTCTAATTAATCGGTAATGAAGACTTATAAGAAGAAGAGGATATTCTAGTGGTTGAGCCCAGTTTCGTGTCCTCCACGGCTCTTTTGGTCTCCGTCTTTTGTCTGCTTCTTTGTTATAATTGTTTTTTCTTCTTTGTTATATTTGTTTCAAAAAAAGAAGAAGGAATTTTTGCTAGTGTTTCAATTTTTTTTTTTTAGATAATATTTTTTTTCTTAATATAATCTTATAGTCATTTCAATAATGAATTTTCTAGTTCGTGATGGTTAATTAGTGTTTCAGTGTTGGATGTTTACAATTTTATTAATTTTGTTGAAAAGAACTTCAAAGCATACCAAAACTCTAAAAAGAACCATAGTACAATAGAGTGAAAATCTGACCATAGCCTCTGACATTAATCGAATCTAATAACGAAGTCAATATTTCTAAGAAAAATTATCATAGTGTTTGGGGAAAGGCAAAATATTAACCAAATTTGACATGATATTAATAGACTGATAAGTCTCTCGGTGCTGTATTAGAACTTGGAAGGAAAAAGGGGGAAAGAAGTGTTCAGAGAAGCTTAAGTTGACCGACAATAACTTAAGAGCTGAGCTGATATATATATATAAATATATAGACAGTGGTGTCACCATACTATCATGCCCGTCATTAATAGTTGTTCCGATGTGGATGGTATTGTTGTGAAACCATAGGATATGTTGGAATTCCTCATCAATATTGTCAAAGGGCGGTTAGAGTTCGTTGTAAAGTGGGTTGGGTTTCCTCCCAATGACAATATGTAGGTGTCGATTGCTGACTTTCTGACGCAGTTTTCTTAGTATAAGTTGGGGGGAAGCTTAGTGACAAAACAATGGGTATTGTAAGCCCCACCAGTGCTATATTAGAAGGAAGAAGATTTAAAGCTAATGACACAGTTTTCTGTTGGTTCTTAATAGAAGCTAATGAGATGATTCCTAGAAAAGGAGTTGTTGCTGTCATTTGGTGGATTTAAAGCTTTCATTTGAGAAAGGAGATAGTTTTGAGGGAGCAATCTGAGTTATGCCAGTTGTTTTTATGTTTATATTATCAAAGTGTAATCAATTTCGTTTGTCAATTCAATAAAGGTTTTACAAAAATTTGGATTGAGTTTGTGTGAGGCTGACAGAAGAATTACATCTAAACTCTATCATAGACAACCCCAAGACAAGACACTAGTATTACTACATACTGAGTAATCACAAACTTGTCCCATTTCAATTTTTCTAAAAAAATGACAACATTTTATTTTGTTTCTGATATTAAAATCCAAATTTAGTGTAGAAGTAGAGAAAACAACTTTGGACACAAGGCAGTTTATAAAGAAAGACCCTCACACAGTAAAACCTTACATATTATCTCAGATTAAAATTTTCGAGGTGTTTCAGTTGACCAAGAGATGAAGATAGAGCTTCAAGAGTACACTCCTCACCGTTGAATATGATTGAGAGACCCCTTAGCCTTGTCATATTGTGAAGATCTGTGACACTGCTATGCTTAGTTGAGAAATTCCCAAGTCTCTCTAAGTTGATAAGATTACCTAATTCCAACTTTGTCCCATCTTGTAATTCCCTCGGTAAACTAAGGTACCTCAGTTCTCGTAACTCCTTCAAGAAATCTGACATGTAAACTTCACATCTATAATCTACATCAAGATTCAAATAGAGCAGAAACTTTAGATTTTGGATAGAAGAAGGTAGATGAGTTATCCATGCACGGTGTAAACATAAATATCTCAAGTGAATGAGGTTCCCAACGCCAGAGGGTAACTTCCCTCCTTCAAACTTGGCTCCAGAGAGATCTAAGACTCTCATCAACTGTAGTCTAGTAAAACATAACCTTGATGCCATCCAATTGTCCGAGGTGGCACTATGGGTCAATAAGAAAGATCTAAGTTTTGGATTTTTTATGTACCCCTCCACATGAAATTCAAAGTCAGAAGACTGTATGACAAGCCTGCGGGAACCAAGAGATTGAGATGTTGCAGTTGAGGTACCTATATCAACAATATGCACAAAATTTTCTTCTTTAGCTTTATGCAAACAAACTTCTCTCATCATGTCATGCAACTGACATGTTTCAAATCTTGACGTACGAAAGTCTTTTTGAGAAACAACCATGTTTCTCTTCACCAATTCGGCTATGAATCCATCTGCAACCTCTTGGATGGTTGCTCCATCATAATACCTCAGCCTCGGTATTCCCTCTGCAGCCCAATAATAAGATAGTTTCCCTAAATCTACTGCATAGTCTTCAGGAAAATGGGCAAGGTAGAGGAAGCAGTGCTTCAAATAAATAGGAAGCTCTTCAAAGCTCAAATTCAGAACATGGTAAACTGAATTGATGTTGTTTTCCTCGAAGCTAGTCCCTCCAACGATGTAAGATCTAATATTTTCATATATCCTTTTCCACTCACGCAATGTGTATTGTGCAGCTAACAACCCTCCTAACACTTTTACTGCCAAAGGTAGTCCTCCACAATGTTTGATCATCTGCTTTCCCATCTCTTCCATTTCTTCATCTACCTTATACTCTAGACAACATCAACATATTGTTAATTTACATGAATGTGTTAGAATGATAGACGCGTTGGCCATATAGTATTAAAGAAAATGCAATAGTATCAATTTGGCCATGTGCAAATCGGATTAAAAGCTCTGAATTAAAAATGTTATAAATAGACCAAATATTTTTACAAATCACAAAATGTCTCGCGCTTATAAAATAAGGGTCAGAATCTAGTATACTATTAAAGAAAATGGAATAGTATGAATTTGCTTGATTATGATCAACAAGGAAAACACAAATTAATTAAAGCGTACCAGTAGTGTTTTTAATAGGAAATGCTATCCTCTGGAAAAGTATCCAACTTTGTTCAAGAGTTAGACAATCTGGTTTAAAGGTAAAACAGTTTGGATCTGCTCGTACTGCGACACCCTCATTGCGTGAAGTAAGTAGAACCTTCCAACCTATGTAAAATAGATTTGTTTTATTATACTAAGAATTTATATGCTCGTAACGGGCCTCCCTCATTCTAGTTTTGCCTCTTCCTAATCTTATCCAAAAAGAAAATGTTAAAATAGAATTATATAATGTATTGTAACCTTTTCTGCGTGGAAACATTGGTTTTATTATGTCCCAGTCTTCTTCTCTCCATATGTCATCAATGACAATCAAAACCTTTTCTGTTTCAAGAACTTGAAAGAGTTTTTCTTGAAGTTCGTCGTTTGTCATCTCTGAGACTTTACATTCTGGCCTAAGTTTCCGCAAGATCGTCTGCCACACATACTT